GGGGGGGGGGGGGGGGGGGGGGGGGGGGGGGGGGGGGGGGGGGGGGGGGGGGGGGGGGGGGGGGGTAAGATGATTCGTACCCGCCGACCTCACCTTTCAACGCAAGAGCTCCGAGTCGAGGACTCCGATCCAAGCACGCGTGTAGCAGGTGTCCGTTGACGACCGCGCAAGAAACGTCGAGAGTATTACGCCGCAAAAACAACAGCATGGTAGCTTTCCTCCCATTCATTGGCGGCGCGGCTGATTGTCCACCTGCACGTACGTATAACTGGGAGTAGCAGCTGCATTCCTCGCCCATACAGGGTATTGGCGGGCGATAGTCCGCCAATTGTGCTCGTCAGTAGCCTCGGTCAGGCTTTTACCCCCGTGAGGGGAACTAGAGCCGTCTACGCCACGATAATTTCGTAATGACACGTCTAAAGATCTGCGTAGAGGCTTGTTTCACATACCCCGCGCGTTCATTATCAACGCGGTTACGACAAACCCGCTCCCGCTCGTCACCGGCCCCTCCGTTCAGAACCTCGGCCCAAGAACAAGCTTTGCCTGGAAACGTTGGCCATGACGGTAAAGGACATGAGCAAGGAGGAACTCCGCCTGCTGGAGGGTCTCGTCGCCGCACGACAGCGAGAGCTGCTGGTTTAGTCTAAAGGGGAGAGCTTGAGTGCTACATGCTACAAGGCCCAGATCTGTGTCCTTGATGTTGAAGTGTTTTGCGTACTCGTGGCGCACGTACGTGAAGACACGCTTCGATCCATGTTCAGAAAATGCCGCAATACATACACGCAACCGAGTTGTTACGGGTGCCATTCAAGCCCGAAGATAGTGGGGAAACGCTCCGTGTCTTGCTTGTCTGTCGTGGGTGACCGGCCGTGCCTGATCGTTAGGAGCACCCACCGGCTGTGGAAGTTATGTATGTTCGTGAGGACCTCTTTGCGCATGCTTGTCTTTTGTGTTTCTTTGACGTGGGTGGGGTAAGTTAGCATGGCAAATAGTTTAATGTCTTCTCGTGGCACGAAAAAACAGCCAAAAAAACGAAGTTACGGATAGTGTCCCACACGCACGTCGTAATGGTTACAATGCAGCCCTGTCAACGAATAGCTGCATCCATGCATGTGATGTCTAGCGTCGACTAGACGCACTACATACCAGGACCCGATAAAGGTACCTCGGCGTGATAGTGCGATAAATCATACTCCGGAGTACAAAGAAGGAAGAGCGGGGTAGTATGGCTGCGAGCTGCTTGTTGTGGCCTCAAGTCGTTATTGAGGTTGTATGCGTAATTGTGTTGGCAGGGGAATGGGTGCAGCTGGTAGATAGTATTTGTTGGTGTTGTTGAAGGCGGTCTACCAACGTGTTGCGGGTGTGTTCGTAAGGTGGTGTGGTGCTACTCCTTCGGGGGCTTCGCAGATATAGAGAGGCGGCCGTACCGGGTTGAAGGGTTTTCGTTGCCCTTCCCTCTCCATGCCATGGTGGCAAAGTAGATGATGCTGTGGTTGTGATGCCTAAAAGCACGTACCGTGTGTCGCACGCATATTTTCGATTCTTTTGTAGGCGTTTGTCTCAAGAGTACTTCGAAATACCGCATTCCACGAAATGCATACTGTAGTGCGCGTCCCCTGCGGGAGATCAGAGTCACTTCCCCGATGTCGAAAGATGCAAACCATTGAGCTGACGACTCGATCGTTCGTGAAAGTACACCCCAGTCCAAGTACAAACGACGCCTTCCCATATGTTTCGCTCGTTGAGCAAGCATCATGGCAAGAGCGATCGGGCAAAGAGCAGATGTAAATGACCACACCACCTACAAGAGTTTCTGGCACCACAGGTTGTAATCGGCGTACAGACGAGAGAAGGAACGTCCAGGAACATCAAATGGTCATGACTTGGCTCTCTCCTGGGTTGGTATCCGTGAAGTGTGAGATCTGCGCGGTTGACTAGGTACAGCATGCCACCCGAATCTTCATCTAATGAATGAATATCGCCAGGTTGAGACTGAGCTTTTCAAATCTTCAAGGGTGCTATACCGGTAGCAACGTGGGCATTCCTCTTGAGTACCATTGTGCAGAATCCCGAAAGGTCTCGCCGCCCTTGCTGCATCAAGTACAATATATCACCGCACGTACTGCAAAGAGAAAGGGAAACCTTAACCTTGCCACAAAGACGGTAGCCTAGACGAAGAGCAGTTAGAGCCGTCGAAGACGACGACCGAATTAGTCGTGGTACTTGCCGACTCTACGGAGAAGGGCGCAGGCGTGTTGTCAGAAGACATGCTTGAGCACCACACTGGCAAGCGAAAATACTACAGTAGCTCAAGTCGGACAAGTTTCCGGCCTTCCGTGCCGCGTGGAGGCACCAAACAAAGAAAGCAACCGGGACGCATGTGATGCTATCACTCAATCGGTTCACTCTTTCCTCTTATCTAGAGCTGCGTCTTCTCCCACTAAACTTACAACACACGTCTTGTGCGTGCTTGTTGCGTAGTACGTGGCATGCTTTCCAAGACCATCTGCCCATGGCATGCAGAGGGGGCTTGGTGCCGCAACAACCTCCCTCTCCTTGGAGGTAAACACACGCGGTAGGAAACACAAAAAAGGTTGTTACCGCAGATCGATTCGTGCGATCATTCGTGGTATATTTTTTAAACTCTTGCTATGGAATCAGCAAAACACTCTGCCGGTCAAGAGCATCCAGGCAGCGACGACAACGATGATGTTCTTGCTTGTCGATCCACCAACAGCAACAGCGTCCCATTTGTACCTCCAACTTAACACGAAGCGATGAAAACAACGAACTGCGCTACACAGCGAGCACGCACCGCCATACATGTGGCATCGCCAAATAGGGATAAATACAGTACCACCTTTCTACCACAAGTTGAGAGACTACACGTTTGCCTCTCCCCATGCGCGATGCAGTAGGGGTGGTCAAGGAATTCCTCGCTGCGAGCCCTATCATGCCTCTATCGTAGGCACGCAACAAACAATGGTTGACAGGTCTAGCCTCCCTTTTCCATCTGCTTGGTAAGATTGAATCAAAATCCGAATCCCTCGAAGCACCCCCCCCCCCCCCC